CAAGCCAAAAGTAGCTGACCAAATGCCCTAGGAATAGCTCCAAGGAACACCGAGACTACACAGTCTGAAGGCAGGTTCCAGAGTTGTAATGCAGAGAGACCAAGCCAGCAGACAGCCTGACTACACAGTTTGGGGTTGGTCCACGAGTAGGGAACAAGTGGAACAGCCTGAACAAGGCCTGGCCGCTTGGCTCCTAGGGAAGCCTAGAGGTCAAAGAACAAAGCAGTATGATTAATTATTTCTAATACGTAGCACCAAGGAGCCCCAGACACAAGGCCCCACCATGCTGTACAAACAGAATATTCTTCAGTGCTTACACCAACTGGGTGACACTCTGGCTGGAACAGCAGGGCAGCCCCTTGGGGAGACTTTTGTTTGCAAACCCTAATGGCTGTTAAGGGTTGACATGTTGAGGTGGGAAATGGCAGTTTGGGGTGTTTCCATCCCTTCCTATTTCTTACCTAGGGTGAGGGGAGACAATGAGGGTAAAATTCAGTTGGATAGCATGGCCACCCGTTGTGCTTGTCTCCTGCCACATGATGGGATGCTGCTATGAGAAGACATGTTGTGGCAGGCTATGGAGTTTGTAATGGGGACAACAGCTGCAGCAGGAAAGTGTTCCATTCGCAGAATGATGCTGAATTCAGGTTAACCAATGGAACTTTATTAAACCCTGTGGATTGCTCCAGCCACATGGCTACTTGCTTCCAACCTGACTCCATGTTTCCTGAGCCCCTGATGTCTTGTCAATTACAGTCCCTCCAGGGAACATGGGCCCTCTCACTCCAGTTCCACTGAAAGAAGCCATTTCCCCACTAGTGTTTCTGATACAACAGAGGTCAGCATGACTTTCTTTTTGTTTACTTCCTTGTTGTGGGCATCTATCTCTTCAATAATGTCAGCAGGAATTTGGGCAGTTTTCTTGTTAGTTAGTTGTTGCTCCAAAACCACGAGGAAGTGGAAAGAGAGTTGGGTATAGTTTTTGAGTGGGAGTCACAAAAATGGTAGCTATTGTCTTTTGTTTTTTATTTTATAATTGCCAAAATTGTGAGTTTCTATCTAACTACACTATCAACCTAATAATCACATTTTTAAAAAGTCCTTCCCTGTGTCACTAACACTCAAGATTACTAAAACTGAAAGAATATTTCAAATCTAATTTCCTTTTACAATTTATGATCTTTGATTCCTCTTTGCATTTCACTCATCCTATGACAGTGAAACCATAATGATCAGTTCCCCTTTGTGTTTCTCAATCACTAGTCTATGGCTATTGGGTTTGGGTTTCCAATATACCAGAGGGGAGTTTAAATCCAAAATAAGAATGTGTTATTATTGAAATGTCAATTCCTTTCTATTTTGTAACCCTTCCCCATTCTTGTTCCTGGCCCTGTCCTTTTTAACTATACCTGAAATTTGAACTAATTACTTCAGTGTCTCCTTTAACGTACTGATCTGTTGTAGGAGTCATGACATGAAAACTTAACAGTGATATGGGGATATGCAGTGAATGCTGATAAAGGGCCTGCAGCCCTTATTCACATGAGTAGTCCCAATAAAGTCAGGAGCTGCAGAGTCTCATTCACATGAGCCACGGCTACAGAATATGGCTCTAAATGGTTATAAACGATATCCAGACAATCACTAAGAGTATGTCTACACTGCAAAGAAAAACCCAGGGTGTTAAGTGTCAGAGCCTGATTCAGCTGACTTGGGCTTGCGGAGCTCAGACTGTGGGGCTAAACATTCCCGCTTGAGCTGGAGCCCTGGCTCTGAAAGCCAGTGAGGGGAATGGGTCTTGGAGCCCAGGCTCCAACCCGAGAAGGAACATCTACACTGCTATTTTTATCCATGCAGTCCGAAACCAAGTCAATTGACCAGGGCTCTGAGATTTGATGCTGTGGTATTTCTTTGCAGTGTAGATGTACCATAAGGTGTCTGGCAATAGACACGTTAGACAAGATAATTTTTGGTGTGTCTGCGATAATTTATGTGATAAAATCAGCAGGTGCTGGGATGCAAATCATGAGGAGCACAGATAATGACATATTTGGAGCCAACATGGCCTAATCATTTGAGTAAAAATGTTTATTTACCATGGGTACTTTCAGGAATGGTGGGTATTTATCAGCAGAACAGCTTGCACCCAGGAGTATTAAAAGAATTGACCAAGGAGCTCTCTGAATCACTAATGTTGATTTTTAACAAATCTTGGAACACTGGGAAGTTCCAGAGAATTGGAAAAAATCAAACATTGTGCCAATATTTAAAAAGGGCACATGGAATGAACTGAAATACTAGGCTGGTTAGCCTGACATCGATCCCAGGCAAAATCACAGAAAGGTGGATATATAGGACTCAACACCTTACTTCAGAGTTAGCAGTTGTTTGGGTCAGTAAAGGCGGCAAGTGTGACTTGGAGACACACATGGAACAGTTACTGTGTGTTGAGTAAGACAGGAACACAGGAGCATTTTTATAGAGTACATTTTCTGACCATTTTTACAGTAGCCACTGGAGTCAGTGAATAATGACCCCCATCATATAACAGGTATATTAACCTTTTGTAGCTCTCCCTAAGCCAATGGTAGCTGTGGGTGTTCAGCACTTTGAAAGTGAAGCTACTTCTATTTAGAGGCATAAATATGGATTTTGGAGCCTCACTTTAGCAGGGGCGGCTCTAGGCACCAGCAAAGCAAGCACGTGCTTGGGGCAGCCCATTTGCAGGGGCGGCAGCCGGGGGATCCAGCCTGGGAGCTGAGAACCAACAGGGGGCCCTGGGAGCTGTAGTTCCTTGGTTAGCTCCCTGCCTATAGAGCCAGCCCTGGAGCAGGGAAAGAACTACATTTTCCAGCATTCCCTTGGCCATTACCAACAGGAAAGAGGGGGAGGGAGTGAGGAAGCTGAGACCTCATGCTGCAGCCTGCTTTGAATGGAGAGCTGCACTGTGAGTAGGGATACCATATTTTAACATTCAAAAAATAGGACACTGCACAGGGAGGGAGGGTAGCCCCACCCTGCCACCATCCACTCCCTCCGACTGTCCCCCACAGAAACCCCAACCCATCCAACACCCCTGCTCCCTGTCCCCTGATCACCCCCTCCTGGGACCCCTGCCCCAACTGCCCCCCAGGACCCCCCCTCCACCTGTCCCCTGACAAACCTCTGGGACTCCCATGCCTGTCCAACTGCTGCCTGTCCCCTGACTGCCCCCCGAACCCCTGACCCATCCAACCCCCCCTGTTCCCTGTCCCTTAACTGCCCCCCAGAACCCCCTACCCCTTCTCCAACCCCCCAGCCCCCTTACCGTGCCACTCAGACCAGTGTGTCTGGCTTCGCGCAGCGCCAGACACGCTGCTGCATACATGCTGCGTGCTCCCCTGCGGAGCCACAGCTCCCCCCCCCCCCCCCCCCCCCCCCCCCCCCCCCCCCCCCCC